CCCCAAAACCCCAAAACCCCAAAACCCCGTTTTTTAGCATTTTTAATTCAATTAAAATTTATGAAATCAAGGAAGAATTAATTATTATCATTTTTAACTCTTATTTCATCCATTTCCTTGGTGACTTTTCAAACAGCTTAGTTACTATAAAAATCTTTATAATAACTTGATGCCTACTATATAGGAAAGTTTCTTTCATTAGTTGGTATGTTGGAAGATCTGTTGTTAGATATATTGATGTTAGAATGAATAAATTTGCTATAATGATTATTCTGCTAAAATTATAACTGCTTCTAGCTATTCTTTTGTTATTTTTAAGAACCCCATCTTAACTCCCCGATAAAACAAAAATTACTTGGTTTTTGAGCCTATTATTTCTAGTTATTCATAGTGCTGTCATTAAGTTCATCTATATTTTGAAGTCTTTCCTTGCTTTTAGTTTAATATGCTTGATTGCTATACAAGGATTCAATTTGATTGTCAATTTTTATTTTAGATCTTTCATTCGAAGTCAAAGTATTTCTAAGAGTTTATAAGTTCCCATTGGTATAATACTAGGATGGCTACTATGCCTGTTACTAGGAGTTTTATGAGGTACTTTTGCTACTTAAAGCTGAAATTCTCTGATTATGATGCTGAATGCTTACTAGCTATAGATTTTTAGTTTCATTTAAAGATTAAACCTAGGTACTTAGAAGGGGGTTTATTGAATCTGACGAAAGTTGAAGAGAAGTTTGAATTGCAAAGGTATTTATTTGTTATGTATTGTTCCCATTAAAATCAAGCTATCTTATTTAAGTTACATCCTAACTTCCACTAGTCTGCCCAATTAAGCCTTTAGGAAACATAAATTTTTTGTACTTTTGCTTGTAATCTATTTAGTTCATTTATCTACCACCTCTGAGTATAAAATCATTATTTTAAGTGGTTTAAATTTCTTCTCGACCCCAATTAAGTTATGGCTAAGACATAACTGGTTGCTATTCATTCTAACTTTCAATTGTTTTAGGGGTCTATTGTAAAATATTATAAGTCTTTTATTCAATTGGTAGTTTATTTCCTCCTAATCTAATGGTTGAAGATTTAGTTCTATCAAAAATATTTGAATGGTTCAATTACTATATAAATTCATTAATACTACTTGCATTCCTTCTATTAACCCCTAGTATAGAGGGTATGAGTTCTTTTTTAAGCCCCTAATATGTTTAGAAAAATATATTACATCTAAGTTTTTATGGGCGGATTGCCGAATTCTCGAGATCGGATTAATCTCTTTATAATCTAGAAAAGCTACACAAACTGAGACTCCAACATCTTCAAATATCTCTTAAGTGTAATTTGGTGTCTAAGATGTTAAGTCAAGTTTTATTTACTTTATTATCCTAATAGATCTTTGAGTGGATATCTTATACAGGAGGATCTGCTAGCTTTTAATTCGTTCTCAAATCAATTTTGGGAGCAATGTGGTTGACTCTTCTACCTGTTTGATAATTGCATTCTAAAGTATAACAATGAACTAGCTTAGTCTCCTAATAAATACTAACTCTGGCGCAGCCTTCTCTGCTCAAACCTCCATCATAATTTTTATCCTTAGCATTCATGAGCTTTTCATTAAAAGAGCATTCTACAAAGTCAAAGTTTAAACTATTCATTGATATCAATTTGGGATATATTTGATTTAGCAGTTGATCCTCATGATTCTGGAGATTATTTCCAAAAATAAAGCAACCTTTCTTTACTGCATGAGCATGAAGGTCAATATAGAATTTAAGGTTCCCAAGTTTATGCTATTATAGAATCAACTGTTTAGCAACAAATATCGTAGGATGCAAGTTAGGATCTGGATTCTGAGATATTTAGGATGAAGAAATAAATTATACCTAGTAATGTCTATTAAGGTTTTGATTGAGAGTATCTTATCTATAGTATCCTCTATAGACTCCATCTGGATTCAAGCATGGAATTATTTTGAAAACATAGTTCTCTCAAAGAAGATTAGCTTGCTCATCATTTCTAAAGCAAATTATAATCAAAATGAATTTTCATTACTCCTAAAGAATAAAGTCTATTATCCCATTTAGTACATGAGAAGAAGGGACTTCACCAGGATGTACTCTAGCGCTTAAGAAAACAGTTTTTCAATCAAATCTATGAGGTCTTAAAACTGGATTTTTGTGAACACAAACGAATGGACTATCAATCATTGGTTCTAATGAATCAGACTTCCCTTTCTTACTTGTTATAGTATACATTTCCATTTATCTTCCTTCCAAGCTGAGACCAACTAACTCTTTATGGAAGTAAATTTCACTGCTGGCTCTAAACTGCCTATTTAATTTTTCACCTTGATCTAAAATATCCTGAAAACTGAAAGGATAGGTAAATGCAAAGTATGTAGTCTCCAATTCTTTTATAAGAAATTGATGAGTGAAAGTAATGCTGAATCCATCATTATAAGTCTAAATAGAGTTAATCTCACTCTAAAATATTAATCTTACATTGTAGGTTAAATCTCCTGCTATACGCCTATATTATCTCATCTAGTTTTGTACCTTGTAAACTGGCTTCATCCCATTGGCAAATAATTTGCTTTAATGATTCATTTATTTTATATTAAAAGTCAGACTGTCACCTTGAGGTACACCTGTCACCCTAAAGTGAAACCATGTTCTATACTATCCATCTTGTTTGAAGGGCTGAGAGTCAGTACACATTCCAAGGGAAAACTACAAAATGAATATTATTAGTAGCCATCTTAGCTAATCTTACAATACTTCGATCATATCTGTTACAAAATGCCAAGTTTCCAGAGTCAAAATTACTTGATATCAATATAGAAGAATTCTCAAATCTAAAAATGTTTTGCTAAGGATGTCCCTCTATCATTTCTACTTTTACTCCGTAACCGTTTTTATTGGCAAAGGTTGATAGATTATTCACATTTCTCTGCTGCTCGTTTATAGCTAATTTGAAATTCGTTTGAGTCTGATTTGGCTGACTCTACTAGAAATATTTATTTGATTGTCTGCTTTTTCCTGAAATTGGTATGTCGAGTGATTCCGATTTATTTACAGCCATTTATTCAAGAGATTCCTTTTGCCTAATTAGAGTGATTTGATCCTTTGGCCTAATTTTACGAATTTCAGGCTGCTTAATTTCATTTACATCTAATTTGATTCCCAAATCTAACTTCTCATTTTAAGTGCTGCTTTCAATCACTCTTCTTGTATTTGCAAATTAAATCTTTGAAGGAGAGATTATTAGAGACTTCTGTTAGGATTCGTTTATGTCAGGAGGAGATTTTGTGAGAAGGGGAGGAATTTTATCCAAATCCAAGTCTTGAATGCCAGCAATTAAAACTTAATTTTATTGCTAGATCCCTGGAATATATATTCTGTTTGTGGTCTTGGACCTTATTTTGATATCTTTTCTTGTATCAGAGGGCTATCTATTTGAATTTAGTTTATTCATTGTCGCATTAATAGTAGTCTTTTAAGATTTGTTTTGGTTTTTGGATTTGTAAACATTTATAACTTGGCTATGTCTCTGTTCCTACGAATTCATTTCTCTTATTTTAATATTTCAAGCTTAACTATTCTAATTAATTTAGTTGCTTTGGTTATGCATTAATATTTTTAAATCTTATTTTTCCCCAAAGATTTAGAGAGAGGGGTTTTGGGGTTTTGGGGTTTTGGGGTTTTGGGG